GATTATTCAATTCATCATTTAATATTGCTTTCCTCGCCAATCCATTTAAAATACACAAATTACAATCTAAAATATATAAAAAAAATAATTACATCACTAATAATGTATACAAATATAATAATAATAATACAAATGAATCACTTTTATTTGGAATTCAAATGCCTTTGGAATGAAATTTCAGTATAAAAAGAAATAGTATTTAACGTAATTTTTACAGAATATCAAGCAATAAAACGAAAATTATGTAATAGAACTTTCTATTCTTTTATTTTAAATATAATGAACATATTTATTTATGTAAACATTCATGGATAAATTTAGACTTCGTATTTTGTTTGAAAATATTTTACATGGGAAAGTAAATATGATATAATATATAAGAATAGTGTAGAACATCCTTAAAACTTAAAAATAAAACAATGTTACTGGATCGTATTCCTGTTGGTTATTAATATATTTGTAAATTATAAAGAAATTAATTAGAATACCAGTGTAATCATGATTTATTTCAATGATACCAAACCAAAATTTTCAGTTCTAAATCAATTAGATGCGTAACATTAAGTATTATAAATATGTCCGTTAAATCCCTGATAAGCGAAATAAAAACCTAAGACAAAGAATTACTGAATAGCAAACAGTTTTAATAATTTTAATAATTTTAAACAATAAAACAATTCGAGTATTATACATTTACAATAATCACGCATATACATGTATTTATGATGTATTATTTTTAGTGTACTTATTTTTGTGCCTATACTTGTGCAGTTTTGTAAATAATTATTTGTTATAAAGTAATAATTTAAAATTATAGTAAACTTTTTTGTATAAATTTGTAATAAAATAATTATATATAAAGTATAAAACATATGTAATTAATTAATTAACATTTAGCTTATTTTCACTTTGGAGCAGCGAAATATTTGTAACGTAATTTTCCAAAAAATCCACACAAATCCACTATAATATAAAATTGTTAAAAAATCAATACAAACTTAGTAATTATCAAAAAATTCATTATTTTTGTTTTAGTATACATTTTTCAAAATCAAGTAATAACTAAATTTGTATTCGTTTGTATTTTACATTTTCATTTATATTTATTTGAATAACGTTGATCAGAATCAAATAATTAATATTAATATTTTTAATACAATATATAAATTAAAATCCAACTTTAATAATTCAAAATTATATACTCATTACACATATTTATTGAATGCAATATAATTTTTTGCGGTCATTTTTATTATCTTGTTTACTAAAATATCCATACATTCGTTTGCGATTTAAGATATTTATTTTGATTTAATATAAAATTTCTAATACATAAAATAATCACCACAATTTTAATTAATCACTCCAGTGTATTCATCATTAAAAAAATTCTGCTCGTTGCTATACAAATAATTAAATTTAATTGTATATTGTATTAAGTAAATTATTCAAAAGAATAGAAATACACTACTATTCGTACAATATAAACATTTGTATAACATGTATAATATAACCAATAATATAATCCATCTTTATACAATTGATTACGATTGGTCCAAATGAAAATATTGCTTATTTCAAAACATCTATTTCATACACTGAATATAAACCTATTGTATTTTAAACAATAAATCAAAAGTATAAAGGCACACAGGCACACACACACACACGCGCGCGCACACATATATATATACATTACTCATTATTTAATATCTATATTAGCGAAATTTATCAGATAATTATAGATCGAATCATGAAATCGTTGAATGATATTAATACTACCTATATATTAAGAAATTAATACTAAAAACAAAAAAGAAATTTGCTACTAAGAGAGGAGGAATTTGCCAATAAGTGCACAAACAAATTCTATTATCTCTTTTCTATTATACTATTCTATATTGAATAAACTGTTTTTATTAAAAGTTCGGTATAATTTTACCTTCTCGCGAACAATGATAATTATAAAATGTACATTTTCAATATAGAGATTTTTATCTATAATTTCACAAGCGAACTGATTAGAACAAAATTATAGGCTGAAAATATGCATTGGTACAATATATTTGTACGAACTTACTATTTATAAAACATATATAAAATACAAGTTTATTGCCTACGTAACAAGTATGACAGAAAGTATTCTAATAATAATAATAATAATAATTTCTAGTTAATTTCAATATTTTACGAATAAATAAATGGATTTTCGTTTAAATAATTTAAAAATTGAAATATTATTTAGCAATAACAGTTAAAAGGTTTTTATTTAAATTGAAGCAAGTCATACGTGTGTGTGGCAAAATTAGGATATTTTAATTATTTTAATAATCGTCTATTGTTACATGTTTTTGTAATAAACTGCCGTCTGTAACAAAGTTGGAGATTACGATGTTAGTGATCAAATTTTTTAAAAAAAGAATACGTGGAAGGTTCAGTTTCTGAAAATTTGAAACTTTTTTTCTCGTATTTACATATACATTTTTAATAAATTACATTTTTTCACAGAATAGAGTTTAATTAAAAATATTTAATATTGAATTTAAAAGTATAAAAGTTTCAAAAGATTGGATTGCAAGTACTGTCAATTATTTTTATATTTAATTTGTTTACTCGAACTTCATTTATAATTTGTTTTTATTAAATTTTATAAAGACAGTGTATTTTTTCATTAGTTTCTTGGTGTGCATACAATTTCAATAATTTTATCTATTTAAAACAAAAGTTGTAACATATACTTGTGAATATTTAAGAAAAGTTTCGACATAATTGATTCTTATATTGAATGGGGAAAAAAAAACTTTAAGAACTTGAACGAGTTTTTAAAAATATGGTTTTTGATGAAAATTTCAATAACAATGTATACCACGACATACAATTCGTTATAAAAATTGTTAATTACTAGTCAAGTCTTTCTAGAAATTCGTAAAATTTTTGTTAATATAAGTTATTCTAAGGATAGTCTAACCATATATTTCATTAATATTTCATGATTTTATTACGGTATCGCGTATATAATAAATATTTCATTATATCGAAAATAGATTGTACATAGTATTCCGCGCAATTAAATTTTATACATATTAGATAGAATATTTAATAGAATAATAATAAAATATCATTGCATTAGTTATATTTTAATGCTCTCCTTAGTCAAATATTATCTTAATAATTGATATAAAATATTCTATATAATATTTGTTATTTGATATGACTAAACATTGATATCTTAAATCTGTATTTAAATTTGTATACAATTGAAACGTTTTATAAAAATATCAATGTACGTTTCAGTTATCAATGAATGTATAAATAAGCAAATTAATTTAATCTTCTATTTCGTTTTATTCGGTTGTTTATATACCATACTTAATCAAAAATTTTGAAGAAGTTCAAACGATGTCATGTAATTCCATATCTTTTGCTTCATGTAATTAAGAAAATCTAAAAATTGATTTACTATTAATTTTAAAAATAAATTTATCAATATTTTTATAATTATTTATATGAAATGTAATTTTGCGATGTGTGATTATTTGTAAATAATGACAATTATGTGCAAATAGTATAAAAGAAAAGCTAGTGAGAAATTTATGTAGCATAATATTATTACAAATATTTGATGAAATTCAAGCCCGTATATTAAATTTCAAAATTATCGCAATTACGAGACCACATATTTCACTTTTCTCTTTTACATTATAAATACAAGAATTTTAATGATAAAATCTTAACAGGCGAGAGAGGACACAATAGAGGAAATTATGAAAAATTATTAAATACTATATTTTGTAAAAGGCATATTTTGTTCTTTTAAACTGCTTTGTTTCTTTTCGATAACATTGTTTTATCTCCTAATTATTTATTTAGACTACAATGATGTAATAGAGATAAAAAAAAAAAAAAAATCCAAACCTATATATAGTCTTTCCTATTTTGGTTACAAAAAATTCTATTGAACTATTGAAAAAAAAAAAAAAAAAAAAAAAAGAAGAAATTTCTATATCCACTAGTACATGTTCTATACTATATGTTATTGTTATTGTTCTTATATTTTGCTGTTAAATAAAATAATATCAGACATCCTATTAAACTCTTGCTCTTATTATAAATATGTCGCGCGATTATTATAAAGAATGTCACGGGCAATGTCATGAAACTTCATGCAATTTAACAATATATAATAATATTTTTCAAGCATCGCGAGTGCTTTCGATAATTGGAATTCCGCGTGCCAGTGTGGGACGTTTGTGTTTATGTTCCAAGTTATTTATTGACATAAGAAACCATGAAGCTACTACAAAGGAAATTACAATCGCTCGATCTATCGCCTTCAATAAGTCACTGTGTCGGTAAATTATTAGATTAGCCTTACTGGGGTAAGGCTTTTTTTTTTTATTTTTATTTTTATTTTTATTTTTATTTTTATTTTTATTTTTATTTTTATTTTTAATTTTAAATTTAATTTTAATTTTAATTTTAATTTTAATTTTAATTTTAATTTTATATCACTGGCAACGGTCAGAAAATAATAGTACAAGCCTGGACTCGCGTATAGTAAGTTGGCCAGGGGACGAAAATGAAATGTTCTTTTTCCGTTAAATAGCGACGTTTTTCTAAATCTTGCTTATAATTCTTTCAGACATATGTCGTTGAGGTTATATTGAAGTTAGAGATTTAATCGTAGGCCCATCAAACTACCGAAATTCAAGTATGTATTTACAATAAAATTTTAATTTTCCGATGCACTATGAGTAATGGCTTTTGGAAATATTGTAATTTAATTAATTATTTGAAATAAATATGAAACGTATTAAGAAAAATATTCGCCCGCGTCAATTTACGTATTGAGATTCACCAATTTTGAATAATCTATTTTTATTTGAAAATACGTTTGTACGAAATACGTTATATGATAGTGAACTTTATCTAAAATAGCAAGTAGAATTTTTTTACTCATTATGTTATCGTCGAGCGACTTGTTTGTCGTTCAAGTGGATTGGTTGCTCAATCTTACATTTTGTTAAAATATTTTTACCATGCAGATTTTTCTATAAAACAGTCGGCTTGAAATTAACGAGCTCTTCCACAATGAGATTTGCTTTTCTATTTGCGATATTTGTGATTACTGTTCAATCTGGAATTGCATGGCGTAGTTTTATGAGAGGTAGGAAGAATAATGGCAATCTTGGTGAGCCTAATTTAACGAAAGCCTATGTTCCAATAAAGGAACAATGGTTCACTCAGAACTTGGATCATTCGAATCCGGTCGAGGGTCGTACTTGGAAACAGGTAATTGACAAAGACAATTAAATAACAATGTAAATATAAGTATTGTAAATATTTTAACCGATTATTATTTTTCTTACAGCGATACTTTGTTAACTCTGATTTTTATAAAAAAGATGGACCTGTATTTCTTATGATAGGTGGGGAAGGACCAGCGAGTAGCAAATGGATGATTGAAGGGCAAATGATTGAATATGCGAAACAATTTGGAGCCATGGCATTCTTATTAGAACATCGATATTATGGAACTAGTCGTCCAACATTGTAAGTAATAGTAATTTAAAAACTAATCCATTTTCATTGTAAGTATTTTATTTTTAAAAATTATTAATTTGCAAAGCTTTTTACGTTATCATAAATTAGTAATTGAAATGAATTATATAATTCATAAGTTTACAATTTTATTACGTCTTTTTAATTAATGGTTATT